GAAGACGTGCTGACGGCTGTGGAAAGAACAAGCAGAATGGAGGATGACTTCGACTTCTGGCCTCCAAAGCGGACGGGGCGGGTGAGGTGTTGACGGCGGCAAGGCCTGGTGATGAAACGCGTCTGGGGCAGAACTCAGGACCTTGGGTTTGGACACGTTAGGGTGGTGATGACGTGGAGGAGGCCGCCGGGTAAACCAGCCTGCCTGAAGCTGGGGCGCGATTGGGGCTGGAGGCAGGCAGGGGAGCCAGCAGCAGAGGGGTGGGATGTGGGCCGTGGGACACAGTAGAGCACCCAGTGCAAAGAAAAGAGGGCGAGGGCCTGGGCCCCAGGGCAGTCCAAGAGCTGGGTGTCGGGGGCAGAAGTGTAGTCTGCAGAGTAGGGGAAAAAGCAGGAGAAGCTAATATCCCAAATCGAAATGAAGAGAAAAGGTTTCCAGTAGAGGGTGGTCTACGGAATCAAAAGCTTCTTTAGAAATAATTACTCAGGTGCTTAGTGGCTCCTTCCTCCCAAGCTCCAGCTCCTTAAGGGATGAACCCTATCATGCACGTGGGGTTTTGCACAGGCTTCAGTGCCAGAAACATGGGCCCGTGGCTATTAGGGCCACTCATGAGTTGTATGACCTTAGGTACGTTACCTCGCTTCTCTGGGCCTTGATAGACATCCCCTCCCTGCTCTGCACCCATGAACTACTCCTCCAGGAGCACCTCTTACTCTGTCACTTTTGTGTTTTGACTTCCTTACACCTCTATGTTGGGACCCTCTGGGGCTCATTAACAGGACTGTTTGAGTCTGACCTGCACCATGTTCGATCTAAATAACCAGAGGCTTGTCGCTTCATCTTTGGGCAGACATCTCTGCTTTCCAGAACAGGGACACTATGTGCCTCATAGATGGTTGGTTATGTGAGAATTAAATCAGATAATGGATATGCTTGGTAGAAGGAAAGCTCACGAAGCAGTATTTATCATCTTTGTTTCTACAACACCAATACTCTTGATGCCTATGGACAGACAGATAACTCGAGACGGTCAGGACACAGCAAACCCTCCTTCCATTCAGCTAGGATGGAGAAAGAGCGGGATCATCAGCTGCTACTCACACCCAGGGAACCTGGACATGGCTCATTATTCTGGGAAATATCAGGGATGCTTTCCCCTTCCATATTTCGTTGGGTAGGTCCCCACCATCACCATCCACATCAGCACTCCAGCCAGAAATTCAAGCATTATCTGAGAGTCTTTCTTCTCACTCATCCCCCACCATCTTATTAGTTACCAAGATGTAACGTACTGTAGCTTCAGAATGCCGTTCTTCATCAAATCCAAGATGCCAGCCATTGTAAGACACGCCATCATGTTATGTTGTTCTAAGAAAGAAGAAAATGCTGCCACTTAAACTATGGCATGCCATTGATTTTTAGAAGCACCCAAGTTTCACAGATAGTAAAATGTGGGGGAAGAAGAGTCCATCCTACAATTGATGAAGTTGTACCCCTCATTCCATCACTGCCTAGATCAGAGCACTTGCCTAGACTAGGGATGCAAGCTCCTAATGCTCTTCCCTCCACTCATCCTCTAACACCCAAAGAGGTTTATAAAAGGCGAGTATTACCAACCCCCTACCCCCAAATCTTTCCATTAGCCCTTCTCCCATAGCCCCTGGCCCGCATCCTTCACTTTAAATTGGCTGCAATTCCCCAGATGTCATATTGTATCTAGTCTGGAATTCCTTTCCCCTCATTCTTCACCTACTTACCTCCTAGCTATTAGAAGTAAGAGTTTTCCAGCCAGGACATACCTCACTCCAGCCCTCCTGCCTGCCAGGACTAGTTTGATTAATATGGCTTGTTAAAAGGATATCCCTTTCTTCACTCACAAATTAACTTCAACCAAAAATGAACCCTACTCCAAACTCCAAAGACAATCCTCCTATAGAGGACAGTTGGAGTCTCCAAACAAGCCCTAACTCTTGTCTGTTTGGCAACACCTAGGTAGTTGTCTGCTCTTCCAAGAAGTCTTCCCAAATTCTCCAAGCTGAGTTACGCACCCTTCCATGGTACCTAACTTAGTATCTATCCCATGCCTACGACTCTTATAGCCTTTTTTATGCCACAGTGTAATTGTCGACTTGGTTTCTCCCCCACTAGACTGTGAGCTCTTTGGACACAGGTGCCTGTTTTGCTCAGCTGTGTGTTTCTCCAGAACCTGGAACCTAGAAGGCACTTACTGCTTATCCATTGGTTGAGTAAGTGGATGGGTGAATGGCAAATGGTGACTGTAGAGAACCAGTGGGTGCTAGTTCCCTACCCTGAGATGCTACCTCCAAAATCACTTCGCATTGCCACCGACTCTCCCTAAGCTTGGTACCGGGCTGACGCAGCAAAGAGCAATGGCACCGCCTGGTGGTCGGTGCGGGAAGCACACCTTATTGCGCAGAAGGAATTTTTTTTTGAATCACTGGTTTTTGTTGTTATTGGGTTGTTTTTTGCTGTTGTTGTTTTGGGTTTTTTTGTTTTTTGGGTTTTTTTTGTTTTTTGTTTTTTTTGCTCCGGTAGTTAGGAAATGTCAAGAGTGAGGGGGATTTGTATTTTTAAAAGATCAAGCTGATGGTTGTATGCAGAATGGATTGGAGAGGGGACCCAGGAGAAGTGGGGATGCCAGCTGGGGAGGTTATTTTGTCAGGGCTGAGAGCTGAGTCCAGATGTGTGACTTTAACCCCACCATGCAAAACCACTTCATAATATTGCCTCCTTCACCTGAGGCCGTCTTTTCTCCCTCTCAGCAGAGCGCTGTGGCAGTGATTCCAAGATCTGCTCAATGACTTCTGCCTTCTGGTATCCACGCCCTTGTGTAATTCCCTCCTGAGTGTGGGCTTGCCTATGACTTGCTCCTAAATGACAGGATACAGCCAAAGGAGAGGTCACTCCTGTGATTCAGGCTACACAAGACTGGGGTGCCTGGGTGGCTCAGTCGATTGGGTGTCTGCCTTCAGCTCAGGTCATGGTCCCAGGGTCCTGGGATCGAGCCCCCCATCAGGCCAAGCAGGGAGCCCGCTTCTCTCTCTCTCTCTCTCTCTAATAAATAAATGAAATCTTAAAAAAAAAAAAAAAAGATTAGCTAAGACTGTAACTTCCTTCCTGCTGGCAGACTTGCCCGTGTGGGCTTTCATAAAGTTGCCGTGTTGAGGAGACCCATGTGGCAAGGAACTCAAGTCAGTGTTTGATTACTAGCCTGTGGGTAAACAGAGTCAGCCTCCTCAATCCAACACCCTTGAGGAACTGAAATTCTGCAGACAACTTATGTCAGCTTGGACATAGGTCCTCCTCCAGCCTTCAGATGAGAACCCAGACCTGACCAATAATCGGACCGTGGCCCATGAAGCCGAGGGCCCGGGCAGGTGTGCCTCAGCTCCTGACCCAGAGAAACCATGAAATCATAAATGTGTGTTCATTTAAAACACCATGTTTCTGTCTTAAAAAAAAAAAAAAAAGGGCAGCCCCCGGTTGGCGCAGTGGTTTAGCGCTGCCTGCAGCCCCAGGCATGATTCTGGAGAACCTGGATCGAGTCCCACGTCGGGCTCCCTGCACGGAGCCTGCTTCTCCCTCTCCCTGTCTCTCTGTCTCTATGAATAAATAAATAAATAAAGATGTGGGGACTGCATCCACACTGACAGGAGTCTCCGGCCTCCTCAGCACCCACTGTGAAGGTTTGGGAAGATTTGGGGCCGCGTCCATGCTGACAGGAGCCCCCAGCCTCCTCAGGTCTTATGGTGAGGCTTGAGGAAAATGTGGGGCCACATCAACACTGACAGGACCCCCGTCCTCCTCAGGACCTGCACTTTGGCTTTGGGACATTTGGGGCTGCGTCTATGTCTCCACATCTGGAGAGATGTGGCTCTGAGAAAAGGTGCACTAAGAAACATTGTCACAGCTTCAGTATTCCCTCCCCACGATTCGTGAGACCCAATTACTTGCAAACTCCTTTTTCCTCCTTTTTGTTTTGGATGGCAATGCTGCTCTGTGACTGACCTACACAATCAATGACTCAGTAAGTATCACAACAGTTCAACTCTGTGGAGAGAACCCAAGGGTCTGCTGGGGAGTATGAAGGAGAACTGTGGACTTGCTTGTTTTGCTTTCAGAAATCAGCATTAAGGCTCCTGATAGGAAGTTCAAAAGACTGCAGGTAGTACTCTGCGGACATAGAGCGAAACCCCGTGGGGATGGAGCCTGTCTCTGTGCCTGCCATATAGAAGGCCGAATAGACGTCTTTTTGGAATGAATGGGTGTTGAATAAATAGGAGAATCTGTGTATGCTAAAAAAATTAAAAATAAATAAATAAATAAATAAATAAATAAATAAATAAATAAATAAATAAAATCTTTAAAAAAAAAAAACAAGCCATGTTTCTGGTCACGTGTGCAGCAACCGATGACTAATAAGCACTTGCTCACAATATGTCATTACCATGCAGGTCAGAAACTTGGGAAAACCTTGGAAACTTTCTGGGATCAGAATCAACTACTATACCACTCACTAGTGGGAGTGTGTGTGTGTCTGTGTGTGTGTGTGTCCCCTATGCCATCCCCACCAGAGGCTTTTGCAGCTGACTCCACAGAGCCTCCCCCTGTGACCTGAGTGACCAAGTATCACCTGGGCGATCCTGTCAGGTGCTAGCCCTGTCCTGTGCGAGGTCCTCTTGGACCATTTACAGCACCCAGTGAGGAAAGGCCGTGAAACCCGGGATGGGGTTGGGTGTTACCAAGCCGATGAGCACAAGAGACATCCACACCCAGGCGGGAACTTGGGCAACTGCCGTTTCCAGTACACCTCTCTCCTCTTCCGGCTTATCATGATACATTACACGGCCTGGAGGAAGTTCAGCCACACTGGATATGCTGTAAATTTAGGTAATTCCACCAAACAAACAAAGTGAGGTAGAGTCCCACAAGAGTCCAGTCTAGAACGAGAGTAACTCAGCTGCTAAATTCTGGAATAATTCAGGTCAAAGAGTTTTAATCTGAGTTAACTGAGTCAACAGGTTGACTGTTGTTCTTGTTTCTCACCCACTATTCTCTCTCCCACGAGATTTTAAAGCTGCGGTTTAGATGGATTTGGCCTGCTGCAGATGGCCAACCTGTGGCTCTCGTCCTCGGTGCAGCGAGAGTAGACTCAGGCGGTGGGCAGTGGCAGCCTCTCACAGCTCTTCCAAGTCTAGAATCCTCTAAGTTCATAGGTCGACCTTCCCCAAACCTGCCTACTGCTGCTGCCTCAGATTCTCCAGTCACTCAAGCGAGGGAGAAGGAGCAAGAGGCAGGCCAAACCTCACCCAAAGTGCAAAATACCCTAATTGCACAATCCTGGTCTAGCCAAACCAAGTGGTTCGTCATCCTCCATTACCCAACATTCCTATTCCCAGATGCCTCTGAAGCTGGAACTACACTAGCCTCAACCCAATCTTTTTTTTTTTTCTTTTTTTTTATGTTTTAGTTTAAATCCTACTTAGTTAAAATATAATGCAATACTGGTTTCAAAAGTAGAATTTAGGGCAGCCCGGGTGGCTCAGCGGTTCAGCGTCTGCCTTTGGCCCAGGGTGTGATCCCGGAGTCCCGGGATCGAGTCCCACGTCGATCCTTGCGGAGCCTGCTTCTCCCTCTGTGTCTCTGCTTCTCTCTCTCTGCGTTTCTCAGGAGTAAATAAATAAAAATCTTTTTTTAAAAAATATGTTTAAAAAAAAAAGTAGAATTTAGTGATTTATCACTTACGTACAACACCCAGTGCTCATCGCAACAAGTGTGGTCCTTAATCCCCGCCACCCATCTGGCCCATCTCCTACCCACCTCTCCTCCAGCGACCCTCAGCTTGTTCTCTACAGTTAAGGGCCCCTCTCACGGTTTGCCTCTTTTTAACCCACTATGTTCAACCTCAACCCAATCTCAAACATTGCCGGGTACAGTAAGATGAAAAACAGTCCTCTCTGGAAAATGCCTCATCAACCTTTACATGGGAAGAAACTCTTCTTTCCCTAATGCTCTGACTTGTGGGAGAACAGATGGATATAAAGGAAAAGGAAAGCGGCCAATACTCTGAAAGTGACTGACTGGGTACCTGTGACCCAGAGAGGATCCCGAGACTGATATGATTCACTACCATCCTAACTAAAAGTAAGAACAGCAGCATTTATATTCACACAACATCTCTTTTCTTTGTTTTTAAGACTTTGAGAGAGAAAGATAGAGAGAGAGAGGAGAGAGGGGGAGGGATGGAGGGAGAGAGAGAGGAAGGGAGAGGGGCAGGGAGAGAGAGAGAGAGACAGAGAGAGAGAGTACGCACCAAAGGCAGACGCTTAACCCACTAAGCCACCCAGGCACCCCACACAAGGTCTCTTTTCAAGAAGTTCATGATTCACCCACAACACCTCAATTCTCAGGCCACCTCCCATCAAGGCAGAGAAAGAGGCCAACAAAGAGGTGACAGGTCCTTGTCATGGGAGCTGTTTATCAGAGCCCACTCTCCTGAGTCAGTCCCTGGAAAGTGGGTTCAGTGCTTGGAGGCAGGGCCGCTGGCTGGCTTAGCAACTTGTCCACTATGTTGATTTTAGCATCATGCTTCTCAATGTCCTCATATGGAGTCCAAGACAAGTCATGTTGTAGCTTGTAGGCACCAAGGAAGTCATGTGGACAACTTGTACCCCATTCCTGGAGAAGGCAAAGGAGACAGTTCTCATCGGAGGAGAAGGTAAAGAAATTGGGCTTATTTCCTCACTTTACGCTACAAATTTCTTTTTTGGTTTTCCACTTCAGACCAGTCAGAATCATCTTCATTGCCTCACACATCAGACACCTCCCTTAACAGAGATAATGACTGTGAAATAATTTACGTGTATTTTTCATGTATATTTTTTAAGAATCATGCCTGGGCTCACAACACCTCCAATTTTCTAGAGAACATTTACTAAACCCTTAGGCCTACATTTTCACACACATACGGCCAAGAATTTCTCAAAGGCTAGAGTAGATTTTTGCGCAAAAATAAATGTTCTTACCTTTGGAGAAATAATAGAAAAATACTGTTGACCACTCTCCCGTTTATAAAGGTAGTAAATGTTGCCAGGTTTTTTTACTATATTACAAGCTACATGGTGCAAGTCAGCATCCCTGTGAGCATCTTCCAATACCTAAGAACCAGGGAGATGTGAAAAATTAAGTATCGGATGTAACAGGCACTCACATCCTGTGATTATCCCTCACTGTAAACTACTTAAAGCTTAGGAACTGCTTTCCCAGGATGCCTGGGTGGCTCTGCGATTGAGCAGGTCGTGATCCCGGGATCCGGGATCGAGTCCCACATTGGGCTCCCTAAAGGGAGCCTGCTTCTCCCTCTGCCTGTGTCTCTGCCTCTCTCTGTGCCTCTCATGAATAAATAAATAAAATCTTAAAAAAAAAAAAAAAAAGAACTGCTCTCCCATAGACTTAGAAGTAGGTTCCAGATGATTCTGAAGAGACCAAAGTTGGACTATGCTACTAAGCCGTACAAATGCCTTTCAAAGAATTATATTTCAAAATGTTGAACATCACTAGCTTTGAATGGCTTTTAAATTTATTTCCTATTTTTCTGTACTAAGTATATTTCTTTCATAACTGAGAACCTATTTTCCCCTCAAAATGCCTTACTTCACACACACACACAAAAAAATGCCTTACTTCACTGAAATGGTCTCCCAGTGAAAAAGCTGATTTTACTCCTAACCTCCTGGGCCTCTTCTATTTCACTCAACACTTCTATATTTCTAGGAGGTTCTGCTGAAGACAGGTAAGTTAAACGACGAGAAGCAAGATCAGTCAATCCTGTGAATAAAATCAAGAAAACGAATGCCTGCCTAAAAGCTGTTACTTACCTTCCTAGCTTGTTCTTGTAAATGTTGGATTTGCTCAGCTATGACCATCAGTTTGTTGGTCGCATTCGCTCGGATGAATTCGTCAGCCTAAAGGAGACAAAACCAAAGGGTGGGTGGAAAAAGGACAGACTTCTACGATGTTCTTCTCAGATCCCAGCATGAGGAGTTATCTCAACCTCTTTGCTGATGCCTAAAGAATATTCTTGTCCTCACCATTCCCCCATGAGCTCCCACCCATCTCCCTCATTCCCCACCCAGCCCAAATAGCACTGCTTATGAGAAGCCTGACATGCCCCACACCACGGAGCTAAGTCCTCCTTCTTTCCTACGTCCCAAGCTTTCTATCCTTTTCACTCTATATTCTAGTCACGCTGAACCTCTGCAGTCCCCAACATGCCCTGCTCTCACAGGCTACCAAATACACTGAATATGTCCTCTCCTTGATATGATGTGTTCTCCCCCTTACTCTTTGCCTGAGTAAACCCACCCATTCCTCTGGTCTCCATTTGTTTTCTGTTTAAATATTTCTGAAATCAGGGACGCGTGGGTGGCTCAGTGGTTGAGCGTCCGCCTTCGGCTCAGGGCATGATCCCGGGATCCGGGATGGAGTCCCACATTGGGCTCCCTGCAGGAAACCTGCTTCTCCCTCTGCCTACGTCTCTGCCTGTCTCTGTGTATCTCTCATGAATAAATAAATAAATCTTTTAAGATAAATAAATAAATATTTTCTGAAATCGGGGAAGGGTCTTACAATAAAAATCCAAAGACATTTGTGATTTGGCTTTTATCACCTGTTATGCAGGAATCTAGCTATACACAGAAACTACCTATTAATCTGACCATTACTTTGTCTGAATTATTAACATCAAACCTAGTTACATTTTAACTTATACTTGCATTCCTAATTGTTACCTTCAAATGTATTTTTAAAGACTAGGATGTAGACCTGAAACAAAGTTGTAATGTACAAACAAGACTGCTTCTCATGCCCTAAGAAATGCAACTGAAGGCAATGGAAATTGCTTAATAAAATAAATCGAATAATTTTCAAAGCCAGAGACTGGTGTGACCAATATCATGTACTGGGAAGGATTATCACTCAGGCATCAGAAATCTGTCAAAGACTACTTGTTTACTTTCAGGAAAAGCCAATTAATGCCCAGTGATATACAACTAAGGAGAAGAAATGAGGATGTTAAATTTGAACTAAGAAATATTAAGAGAGGGGGATCCCTGGGTGGCTCAGCAGTTTAGCGCCTGCCTTTGGCCCAGGGTGTGGTCCTGGAGTCCCGGGATCAAGTCCCGCATCGGGCTCCCTGCATGGAGCCTGCTTCTCCCTCTGCCTGTGTTTCTGCCTCTGTGTATCTCATGAATAAATAAAATCTTAAAAAAAAATATTAAGAGAGTTTTCTGGTTAGTTAAGGAAGCGCAAGGTATAAGGCAGCATCACACAAGAACATCAACAACTGAGTAGACGGGGTCAAGGATTTATCTGTTCCACAAACAGAGATTGAACAACCAGGGTGTGTCAGACACCATGCCAGACCCTGGATGCACTGGCAAATATGAGAAAGAGGTCCCTAACTCTGCAAGATTACAGCTTAATACACATGCCTTTAGAATATGAATCAAGTCAGATGCAATGAAACGCCGGGACACCTGCACCCCGATGTTTCTAGCAGCCATGTCCACAATAGCCAAACTGTGGATATCAGAAAGGGACACAGAACATAAAGACTCCTAACTCTGGGAAATGAACTAGGGGTGGTGGAAGGGGAGGAGGGCGGGGGGTGGGGGTGAATGGGTGACGGGCACGGAGGGGGACACTTGACGGGATGAGCACTGGGTGTTATTCTGTATGTTGGTAAATTGAACACCAATAAAAATTAATTTATAAAAAAAAAAAAATAGCCAAACTGTGGAAGGAGCCTCGGTGTCCATCGAAAGATGAATGGATAAAGAAGATGTGGTTTATGTATACAATGGAATATTCCTCAGCCATTAGAAACAACAAATACCCACCATTTGCTTCAACGTGGATGGAACTGGAAGGTATTATGCTGAGTGAAATAAGTCAATTGGAAAAGGACAAACAGGGCAGCCCCGGTGGCACAGCGGTTTAGCACCGCCTGCAGCCCAGGGCGTGATCCTAGAGATCCGGGATCGAGTCCCGCATCGGGCTCCCTGCATGGAGCCTGCTTCTCCCTCTGCCTGTGTCTCTGCCTCTCTCTCTCCTGCTCTGTATCTCTCATGATTAAATAAAATAAAATCTTTAAAAAAAAAAAAGGAGAAGGACAAACACTGTATGTTCTCATTCATTTGGGGAATATAAATAATAGTGAAAGGGAATATAAGGGAAGGGAGAAGAAATGTGTGGGAAATATCAGAAAGGGAGACAGAACATAAAGACTCCTAACTCTGGGAAATGAACTAGGGGTGGTGGAAGGGGAAGGAGGGCGGGACGTGGGGGTGAGTGGGTGACGGGCACTGAGGGGGGCACTTGACGGGATGAGCACTGGGTGTTATTCTGTATGTTGGCAAATTGAACACCAATAAAAAATAAATTTATTATTAAAAAAAAAGACTTCTTGAGGTTTAGAGATGCCTGAGTGACTCAGTGGTTGAGTGTCTGCCTTTGGCTCAGGTCTTGATCCTGGGTTCCTGGGATCAGGTTCTACACAAGGCTCCCCACGGGGAGCCTGCTTCTCCTTCTATGTCTCTGCCTCTCTCTGTCTTTCATGAATAAATAAAATCTTAAAAAATATATAAATAAAAATAAAATGTTGGGCTTCCTTGGGAAAAAAGAGTATGAATCAAGTAACATATGTAATTCTTAATTTTCTAGCAGTTGAGTGAAAAGTAGAAATAAGTAAAGTTAATTCTAATGATATATTTAACCCAGTATGTCAAAAAAACACCATCATTCCAACATATAATCACTATAAAACAAATTTTAATGAGATATTTTACATTTCATATTAAGTATAATTTTTATACTTACATACTATCAATTGGGATGCCAAATTTTGATTGGAAATACTCAATCTCTATTTGGACTTCATAAATTTACAGTTGAAAGAGCTGTACTTTGCTTGTTCCAAGTATACTTAAAACTGTTCAATGATTCAATCGATTAGCAATGTAAATTAGTTAAAATTAAATAAAATGTAAAATTCAGTTTCTCAGCTGCACTAACCATACATACATTCCAGGTGCTCAAGAACCATATGTGGCTAGAGGCTACTGTAATGTACAGCATAGCTCTGGTGAGTAATACAGACACCAACCAGAAAGACAATTAGAGCCAGTATTATACGGACTCAGAATAATGATGTGCTACCATGAAACAAACAACCATAATTAATGAGGTACAAGCAGATCAAAGGTAAGAAGTGAGTGAAGTAACTGGTTTAATAACAGGGAGTGATGAGGACTGCAGGGATTGGAACACATATGTAGCCTAGAGGCAAATTCAATGTAATAGTACGTCATTTGGATGGGGTGGGGTATGGCCTTCCACAGGCAAGGCCTTACAGAGGATGACAATTGACTTGGGTCTGAAAAAGGAAAGGGCCAGGGACCAGGTCATGCAAGGCCTTATGGCCCATAGTGAAAGTACTGCACTTTGTTCCAAAGACAATGAGGGACCTTGTGGCCAAGGAGTGAGTCGGTGGTTTCTAGAGCTAAGGCAGTTCTAGGTTAGAAAGTGGCCTCATTGTTAGTCTTTTTCTTAAGTTGGTAGCAGCAAATCTCTTCCTTGTAAACAGAAGAGACTAATTCAAACAGAAATGAGAAGAGGATTTATAATGACTAAACACAAGCTCCAGCCCCAATCACGCTGAGGCCCTTCACATATATGATCTCATTTGGTTTTTATTACACCTCATGTAGTTGGAGATGGTAACTTAGGAATTATACTCGGAGAGGTGAAGCCAACCTCTCCAAGGGTTCACAGCTAATAAACGGCAGTTGAAGATCTGAACATAGATCAGTCTGATTCCAAATTTCATGCCTTAATACCAGACCTCTTGAGCTTTCTGTACACACATTAACACGGAAATGGCCGATAGGCATGCTGATAAGCAGTCGGTCCTGCTAGAAAATATATGTCAGGACACAGACGGTAAATACGCTTGATTCGATCTGTTTGACTCTAGTGTTTTATGGCAGCTGCTCAATAGTGACAGACAATATTGGAGAAAAGGAGGGAGCACAATGATGCACCCTCTATATTTCACTAGATTATACAATGAAGGGCAAAAACGGTGTTCCATCTTTCTTTGTTTCAGGCTACCGTAATAAAGATGACGGACACTCAGTAACCCGTGAGAATGTTTGCCTAAGCTTTGGACCTGGTTGCCTCCCTCCCAATAAGTGATCCAATTAAAGAGACATGATAGTCTCCTAATCCGTGAAAGTTATACTTTGCTCCCCACCTCTCTAGAAAAGAGAAGTCACAAAGTTTGAATCAAAGGCAACTTCCTAGGCATTCGAATACTTCTTAATTAAAAAAAAAAAAAATTCCCAGCCAGGGAATGCCTGGCTGGCAGTCAGTTAAGCACCCAACTCTTGGTTTCAGCTCATGTTGTGATCTCAGGGTCATGAGGCTGAGACCTGCATCAGGCTCCATGCTCAGTGTGGAGTCTGAGATTCTCTGTCTCCTTCTCCCTCTGGCCCTCCCACTTGTGCATGCTCACTCTTTCTCTAAAATAAATCTTAAGAAACAAAAAATCCTGAAATACGGAGATGTATGTGTGAGGGAATTTGAACACATTAATTATAAAATAATTTTGAGCAAAATACAGACCTTTGAATTTAGGCAAGGCCAAATGTGATAGTGCATACAGGGTGAAGGGATACTGGAAGCATTAAAGCAGTAGGGTCCTACAGCTACACAGTGAAGAGGGTTCTACAACTGGAAGTCTTGATAAATATAGATGGAATTCGGTTTTCATAGCTTTAGATCTACGAGCTTTCCTAGTTGAAACTCTGCATTTTACAGATAAAGAAGCTGAAGTCCAGGGGTGCCTGGGTGGCTCAACTAAGCCTGAGACTCTTAGATTTTGGCTCAGGTCATGACCTTGGGGTCCTGAGACTGAGCCCCAAAACAGCTTATCGCTCAGCAGAGTCTGCCTGAAGATTCTCTCCCTCTCCCCTTCCGCCCACTCAAATACATAAATCTTTAAAAAGGAGTTGAAGTCCAAAGAAAAATAATTTGCTTCAAGTTAAATGTAAGTTAGTATGGAGAGTGGGTGAGGGTGGGAGGACTGGGTTGCTCAGTTGATTAAGTCAAAGATTCTTGATCTCAGTTCAAGTCTTGATCTCACGGTGGGGAGTTCAAGCTCCGCCGGGCACCACAGTGGGTGTGGAGCCTACTTAAAAAAAAAAAAAAAAAGTCAGCCCGGGTGGCTCAGTGGTTTAGCGTGGCCTTCGGCCTGGGGCATGATGCTGGAGACCCGGGATCGAGTCCCACATCAGGCTCCCTGCATGGAGCCTGCTTCTCCCTCTGCCTGTGTCTCTGCCTCTCTCTCTCTCTCTCTGTGTCTCTCATGAATAAATAAATAAAATCTTAAAAAAAAGAAGTTAAAAGTGGGATTAACATGCATGTATCCAAACTTCTAGTGTTTTTTCTGTTATTTCATATCTCCTTTTTTTACTTTTAGCAATGAATATCTAAGCACTGGCTTTGGGAATGTTGTGTCCAGTGAATAACACAGAACAAAATTTAAGAGCCCTTGTCCTTCTAGATGTTTAGTTCTCAAAGTGTTCAGGTCACAGACAAAGATCTCAGAGGAAGCAGTTTAAAGTAAGTGGACTATGCATTCCTGCAAAACCTGCAGCGATAGCGCGATCCACAGAACTTCCATAGGAACTTCTCTTCATGCCTCAAATGGGAAGAGTAACTTCTGTCCTGCCTACCTTGTGGGGCTGTCCTGGGACCCAAATGAAATACTGAATATCCAAAGTGCTGTGCAGAACTTTCCACCAGATTATAGGCATTCATGCTGCAGCTGAAGGAGCCTTTGGTCTCAGAAGATCAGAGTTGGGGTCAGGCCACCAACTCCAAACGACAACCAGCTTCCCCGTGTTGTAAAATAGAGACGGGTGGCTCGGGTCATGATCCCCGGGTCCGGGGGGGGGGGGGGGGTCGGGTCTCCTTGTCCCTCTGCCTCTGCCCCTCCTTCTGCTTGTGCGCGCTCTCTCTCTCTCTCTCTGTGTCACATAAGGAAATAAAATCTCTTTTTAAAAAATGGAGACAGGGGATCCCTGTGTGGCGCAGCGGTTTGGCGCCTGCCTTTGGCCCAGGGCGCGATCCTGGAGACCCGGGATCGAATCCCACATCGGGCTCCCGGTGCATGGAGCCTGCTTCTCCCTCTGCCTGTGTCTCTGCGCCTCTCTCTCTCTCTGTGACTATCATAAAATAAATAAAAATTTAAAAAAAAATTTAAAAAAAAAAATGGAGACAGGGGCAGCCCGGGTGGCTCAGCGGTTTAGTGTCTGCCTTCGGCCCAGGCCGTGACCCCGGGGTCCCCGGATCGAGTCCCACGTGGGGCTCCCTGCATGGAGCCTGCTTCTCCTCTGCTGTGCCTCTGCCTCTCTCTGTGTCTCATGAATAAATAAATAAAATCTTTTAAGAATAAATAAATAAATTAATTAATTAATTAATGCGACCCCAGGCTGTGAGGTCCCCGTCGTAGGACGCAGGCCAAAGGCGGCCGAGCCGGCTGCGCGGCCGCACCTCACCTTCTGCACCTGCTGTGCGAGCGCCACGAGGTCTAGGGGGTCCCCCGCCCGGTGGGTGTGGTAGGGGCTCAGCAGGGCCAGGCCGCCGGGGCTCGAGCTGCGCTCCACCAGGGCCGCCGCCGCACCTGCGCAGGAACACAGCCCGTGAGCACCCGCCCTCGGCGTCCCGCGCAGCCCCGGGGACGAGCGGCTCCGCGAGGGCTTCTCTCCCCGCCTGACTCCCGCCCTGCCTACCTCCCCGACCCGTGGCCGGCCGGACCACTCCGTTGGCCGGGACCTCATCAGCCGGGCCCAGCTGGGCAGCGCTCGCCATCACTCCTGAGACCGCCCCGCGCCCTCGCGCCGCCCGGCGGAAGAGCATGCGCACAAAGGCCCGTGGGCGGGGCTTCCGCCTTCCGCAGCCATTGGACAACACCGCGGGAAGCCCCGCCCAGAGGCGGGGCCACGGCGGGGCCACGGCGGTCCAGCCCTGCGGGTAGTCAGAAAGGCGGTGCAAGCTCCCTGGGCATGCGCGGCCGGGCTTGGGGGCGGGGCTTCGGCCGGGGGCGGGCCCGGGGGCGGGCCCGGGGGCGGGGCTCCCGGGGTGGGACTGCGGCCTCGGGGGCTGGGGCTGCAGGCTGGCGGTCCCGTTAGGTCGCGGGAGGCGATGGCTGCGCGCGCTTCCAGGCTGCTGATCGCGCTGCTGGCCGCCGCCGCCGCCGCCGCCGCCGCCGCCGCCGCCGCCTCCCGGGCCGAGGTGGAATCCGAGGCGGGATGGGACGTGGCGCCGCCCGATCTGCTCTTCGCGGAGGGGACCGCGGCCTACGCGCGCGGGGACTGGGCGGGGGTGGTGCTGAGCATGGAGCGCGCGCTGCGCTCGCGGGCCGCCCTGCGCGCCCTCCGCCTGCGCTGCCGCACCCGCTGTGCCGCCGAGCTGCCCTGGGAGCCGGACCCCGCCCCGCCCCCCAGCCCGTCGCCGGCCTCGGGCGCCGCCGCCCTGCGCGACCTGCGCTTCTTCGGGGGCCTGCTGCACCGCGCCGCCTGCCTGCGCCGCTGCCTGGGGCCGCCGGCCGCCCACGCGCTCAGCGAGGAGCTGGAGCTCGAGTTCCGCAAGCGGAGCCCCTACAACTACCTGCAGGTCGCCTACTTCAAGGTGCAGCCCTGCCCGGGCCCCGGCGGGGCGGGGGGGCCCTCCGGGCGTGGTTGCAGATGACCCCGGCGAACTTGGCGGGGGAGGGGGGGGTGGCGCCCTGGGAAGTGTCCTCCGGGAGCGAGGGGAGCCTGCAGGCCGGGGAGCCCCCTCGGACCCCCAGGGAGAACAGGGACCCCGCCGGCAGACCTGCCGCGCCGGGTTCGCGGAGGCCGATCGATGGCAACCCCAGAGGCCCGGCCTGGGGTGGAGGCGCCGAGAAGCAAAACTTGGCTTCGTGTTCCCCGGGAGGCCTCCTGGAGACCAGTAAAAGCGGTAGCTGTGTCTCTCGTCCGGATTTCATTGTAAGTGTCCGAGTGAAAAGCTAGAACCTTTCTACATACAAGACCTGCCTTCCGGTTCGTTGTGCAGTGATGCTTTTCCCGCTGCTCTCTCAGGACGTGAGGTTGCCACGTCGCCAGTAGGGTTGTCTCGCCCCTCCCTGCAGCGGGACCCTCTGGCTGTTGTCAGGTTCTCAAAGAAAATGAGTGTTTTTAGGGATTCCAGAGTGGCTTAAGTCCAAGTAGATACATGGATTGGGAGCGCCCCTGGCTTGCGTGATGGTGGTGGTGGAGGTGGTGGTGCTGGTGCTGGTGGTGCTGGTGGTGCTGGTGCTGGTGGTGCTGGTGCTGGTGCTGGTGCTGGTGGTGCTGGTGGTGCTGGTGCTGGTGCTGGTGCTGCGCAGCATATACTTCCAGGCACTATTCTAGGTACTTTGTCTTTATTGATTTATTTCCCCAGATCCTGTCACTGTCTTGGCAGGTAAGTGCTACTATTAGCTCCATTTTATTAGAGGAAAAGGAAGAAGCAGGGGGAGCTGTGTTGCAAATCTGTTACGTCCTTGGTTTAACAGACGGCCATTTCCACCTAAAGAGAGACTTAGAGGCCGTGGGGGCCGTGGACTCCCACCTCTCCACAAGCACTTTGCTTACACAGTTCTGTGCCAGGCCTCCTGGTTACTCAGAAAAGTCCTGTACTTGAAACAAAATAAGTGGGTCATGTCTTTGGTCATGTCACTTGACAGCACGTTCTCAAATTCTTTGACGTTTCCTGAATACCTGGAATACATTGCAGTTCTTATATGGGTCATTAAAATACTTGACTTTGTGTTGTTTTGTTCTGTATCGCTTCCCTATAGAAAGAGCTGTTAAAAGAGTGTGTACATAGGGCTATGAGAGCACCAAGGAGGGAGAACGTAGCTTTGTCTCAGAGAGACCAGGGAGTCTGAAAGAAGAGGTGACAATTGAAGGTGGTCCTAAATATCACTCTAGGAGAGGAAGGATGGCCATTCCAGGTAGAGTGAGGGCAGGCTGGAGGGAGAGCTCTGCAGGCTTCCAGAGCCAGGGTCAGAATCGGGTTTTAGTATGCTAATTATGGAATGTGGAATAAGCCTTGGGAGGAGAAAGTGGTGGTGGAGCTAGCCACTGCGGGAGGAGTTGGCTGTCCACGTGAGAAAAGGAAGTTAGGCGCCTGGGTGCTTGGGGAGTAAAGAGGGACTGGGGGCAGAGAGAGAAGACGAGAGAATAGGGAAATGCAGGAGCAATGCAGAAAGATACAGGCGAGAGAATAAATCCATAGAAAGGGACAGACTTGTGAGAATTTCTAATTGTACAGCTTACAAAACAGCTACAGAGATGGGGATTATGGACTTTGGGTCACCTAGCTATTTGAGGGTCAGAGCCAGGGCTGACTCCTCGTTTAGCATGCATTTACTAGTACTGATGAAAAAAGGAAAAACATTAGATCATCAGTGATTTATTTTGGCTTCTACATAAGAACCTGTGTAGCGCCGATATCCCAGAGTCCTCTGCTATGGGCTTTCTTGCGGCCTGTGGCACATTTTTTTCTCCTCAGATTTCAGCATAACCACTTGTTTTAACCTCATGAGCCCTGGGCTTTGGGTCAGAAGATGCCATAACCAGATTTTGTAAAAGACCTTAGGATTTTTTCCATCACCCATCTTTTCGCTGAATGTGTCGAAAACCCTAGATTACACTTTATGCAAGAAACAAGTATCTTCTAGGGAAATCCTCAGGCACAGTGTAATCATTAACTGCTCTTTCTCCCGTACTACTAAATTCTTGAAGCCTTAGAGTTTTTTTCAGCTCAGTTGCTGCTTCTGAATCTTGAGAATATATTATCTGAGCAGTCATTCTTCCATAGCAGTCCTCCTATAGTATGGCCTTTGTTTAAAAATAGAATGTTTACACTGTCGAAGGCTTGTCTCCTAGGATTTGGGGACCGGCTCAGCCTGATTTGGGAAATGGCTGACATTCTGCCCAAAGTGCCATGTGCCTCTAAGTTTTGGTATGTAATTAATTCCTGCAATGGATGTGTTTTCTGGGGCTGGCAAGGTCTGGAGCATACTGTTGAGTGGAAGGCTCAGGAAGGCTGGGATTTCCTGTTTACTGTGGACTGAGCATTTGGACACAAACCTTCAGGGTTTGGAGATGAGGATTATGTCTTTGTACCTTATTCTTAGATCAACAAGTTGGAGAAAGCTGTAGCAGCAGCGCACACCTTCTTCGTGGGCAATCCTGAACACATGGAGATGCGGCAAAACCTAGACTATTACCAAACCATGTCTGGAGTGAAGGAGGCTGACTTCAAGGATCTGGAGGCCAAGCCTCATATGGTGAAAAAAACTTTGTCGCCCCCCCCCAACTCTCTCTTTTTATTAAAGTGGTATTTACTAGGCTTGTTTTCTGATTACAGAATTAGTAGATGTTCATTGTAAAACACTATAGAAAAATGAAGAGAAGTATAAAGGAGAAAATAATCATCTATAATACTATCATGTTAAGAAAACTGTTAAGTTTGTATTTTGGCCTTTTTTTTAATATATATTTTTAAAATTTATTTGTTAATGAGAGACCCAGAGAGAGGCAGAGACATAGGCAGAGAGAGAAGCAGGCTCCATGCAGGGAGCCCGACGTGGGACTCGATCCCAGAACCGCAGGATCATGCTCTGGGCTAAAGGCAGACACTCAACCGCTGAGCCACCCATGCGTCCTTATTTTGGCCTGTTTTTAAAAGTCTTCTGTATCTTAATTTCCCACCCCTAATTTGGTGTCGTATATGTACTTTTCATCATCCTTTTTGAACTAACACCATATCACGAGCCTTCTCTCATGGCTTCAGATTTTCTTCAAAAATACCATGTTTAATGGCTGTGTGATAGTCCATTTTATGCATAATTGTATTGATTTACTGTGTAGGTTTTTGCCCTCACTACAGTAAGTGGTACAGTGTGTTCCTCGATGTTTTTATTCTGTTCGTTTATTTTATTATTTTTTAAGATTTTATTTATTTGTTCATGATAGACACAGAGAGAGAGGCAGAGACACAGGCAGGGGGAGAAGCAGGTTCCTCGCAGGGAGCCTGATACGGGATTCGATGCCCAGACCCTGGGATCACACCCTGGGCCGAAGGCAGACGCTCAACTGCTGAGCCACCCAGGCAGGCCACTTAATTCTGTTCATTTAGCAGAAGTCAGTGTTCCATGAGAGATACTATCTGTGATACAGCATTTTATAAAGAGCTTATATTCTCTTAAGTTTTAATAGTTTAGAAATAGAAATATTAGAAACAATATCAGAATTACTTTATTTTTTTTTAAGATTTTGTTTATTTTTTTTTTGACAGAGAGAGAGTGAAGACAGCACAAGCAGGGGGAGAAGCAGAGGCAGGCTCCCCACCGAGCAGGAAACCAAATCCCAGGACCCTGGGATCATGACCTGAGCCGAAGGCAGATGCTTAACTGACCGAGCCACCCAGACACCCCTGAAAATGACTCCCTTAAAAGTAAATTGTGGGGGCGCCTGGGTGGCTTAGTCTGATAAGCATCTGCCTTCATCTGAGGTCGTGATCCTGGGGTCCTGGGATCCAGCTGGTATCCAGCTCCCTGCTCAGCAGAGAACCTGCTTCTCCCTTTCACTCTGCCTGCTGCTCCCACTCCCCCTGCTGGTGCTCGTTCTCTTCGTGTCAAATAAATAAATAAAATATTTTTAAAATAAAAAAATAAAAGCGAATTGTATGAGGGCACCTGGATGGCTCAGTTGGTTAAGTGCCAGACTCCTGATCTCAGCTCTTGATCTCAGGTCTTGATCTCAGGGTTGTGAGTTCAGGCTGCTTTGGGGCTGCATGCTGGGTGTGGAGTCTAGGTTAAAAAAAAAAAA